TGCCTCCCTTTAGACCATATAACTTGCCTTTCTATATGTAACTGGAGCTTGGCCATACAATACATGCCCTAGTTGCCTCCCTTTAGACCATATTACTTGCCTTTCTATATGTAACTGGAGCTTGGCCATACAATACATGCCCTAGTTGCCTCCCTTTAGACTATATTACTTGCCTTTCTATATGTAACTGGAGCTTGACCATATAATGCGGCTCCCTTCACCACAGCCAGATCTCCGTCCTTAGGCACAATAAGTTGATAGGAGGGGAACGACATCCGTATGTGGTCTTGGATAATCGTGGATCTTGAGAAATATCCAGCGAGAATGATATTTACTACGTACTCCGATCCCGATTGTTGAAAACCTTTCCGAAGGAGATTTACTGTATGTGTAGCGGCTTCTAAAAATAAACTCTGATATATCTCTGGTGCTATCTTAAGCTTGCCTGAAGTGTAGGCAATCTTTTGAGCAATATCGGTCTGCTCAATCGCTTGATTAATACTTTTTCCGGTTTTGTCTGTTACCAATGCTGACAAAGAGGAAGGCATTGTAATGACAAGTGGTTCTTTGCCATGCAAGTCCTTGGTCATATTCCTGCAAAAGTCACTGAACAGGCGAAAATAGTCAGCTCGACACTGGCTGTAAAAGTCATCAAAAACAGTTTTCCCAAACATTTTACTTATTATATTTTTAAATTCCTCTTGTACTTGATATGAAACGAGAACGTCCTCGGAATGGCTATATAGCAGTTCTAGCGAATTGTCATCCATTAGCTCCAATATAGAAAATGTCATGTAATCATCTGAAAAAGAAAAGACTAAATAATGAAAGAATCAAATAAAGAACCCAAACCTTGAAAATCATTTTAAACCATAGAAGAAAAGGATTCATTATAAAAGAAAAAATGACACGAAAACCCTAGATAGGAAAACGCAGAGATAAAAGAAAATACTAAGAGAATATTAAGATGATATATATTTTTAATTTCATTTTTATTCTCAACTCGTATACAATGAAAAGGCAACAAACTAAGAACAAACTTTAAAGCTTATGTCATGTTACATTGACTAATATTACAACATAACTATTCAGGTCATCAATAAAAAACGTAATCAAATCTCCAATAAAAAGAGTCTAGATGATGAAAAAAGACTTTACGGAATCCGGTCTAGGGAGACCAGTCTAGTGAAAGAAAGTTGTTTCTAAATTAAGGTCTAAAAAAACCATGACTAGATTGTGCTGGAGGTAACATGCAGAAAAAATAGACAAACGGAGCACACCTGAGGAACGCCTTTGTAAAGTTTATAAGCTCTTAAATGACGTACTCGATGACCTGTTTATATTCGATGAGTTTTGTAAGGGTAACAAGATGGTTATTACCGGGTTATATAGGTGGCGAGATGGATTTCCCGATCAATCTTGACATAGGGTCTTTATACGCTCATATTATCTTCTAAGTTTGTTTAAAAAACTTTTCCTGTCCTATCTATCGACGTTGAAGACGTTTTATGCTTAAACATTCTTTTTGATACAAAACAACATAATGTCAACTATGTCCGTAAAAAGAAATATCAAACCCCATAGACCAACCGTTAAGCGACCTATGATTACATACAGTCATTACATATCGTCTGCAAATTTCGAAAAACGACGTCTTTTAGTGCAGCAAGTCTTTATTACGAATTGTGTTGAAAGACTTGTCGTCATCAATATGCTTTCGGCTTTTTACTACTTTTTACCACTTTGCCAAAGTGGTGCCATTAACGGTTAAGTATATTTACCACTGACTTTAGTACACGTTGAACAAGATATTCCTCTGATCAACATTCATAATTTCAATTTACCACTCAAAAGTTTTCAGCATACTACGTTACCTTGCGTTCGTTTTCCTTTCAGTTTATATTGATAAGTCTTCATTGTATAAATAAACTGCAGAATCTGGCATATGTGTGACATATTTTAATGTTCTGTATGTATATGCAGTATATGTGTAAATATGTATTATGATTTTAGTTTTTTAATTCCTCAACATCGTGTTTTATTGTTAAACAAAAGTTAATTACATTTTACAATTGATAATTCATATTTTGACAGGGGATGCTGAACTTCTCGGCACCAGATCCTATCTTTTATTTTTTCGGCAGTCGTTGTTTTACATGTATACCTGAATACTACTTTATAATGCTTGTATATCTAATTCTATATGTCGATCATTGTACGTTTTCTTCACATAGTTCATTCGTAGTGACGTAAACCAAACATTCTTACTTTTCTTTTATCAAACTTTACCTTCGCATTCCAGCACCACGCTTCGCTTCCCTGGAGAGAAGGCTTCCACGTTTTCACCCGATAGAGATTTGTAAACATTATGATGGATTCTGCAGTATTGAAAGACAGACACGGCCTCAGGAATAATCACTGCTTGGTCCTCGGGTATACCATTCTGTCAATAAGATTCATTTCCATATTCAAAACAAGGAAAGATTCTATACGTACAGAGCTGGAAAGGGGCAATATAGCACGGGGACTTCACTTTAACATTAATTCATGAGATCGAAAATTAAAATCATTTGTGAAAGATAAGCAACAAACAAATGGAAATCACATTTCCAATGCATTCTTTCATAAATGGAAAGGCCTCATCCGTTGAAATGGTTGGTACGGTGAAGATGAACTGCCTGCGTATTGATCCTCTAACATTCGAATTTATCTGATTCAGTAAGTATCTTATAACTTTCTCTATGATGTCATGTGATGACAAAACAAAGCCATTTTTAGCCGGTATGAAAATTGGAATCTGAAAAAAAAATGCAAAAATAAAAATCGTTTGAATTTTTATTTGTTATCTGTACGCAAATGCTCAATAATAATAATAACTAGAAACGATCTCGTTGCGAGCAACGAGTAGGTCTTCCGTCCGATTCCGAAAAATAACCAATAAAATCGAGCTGAAAATGGATTAAACATATTTTGGACACACTGGTAATTGAAACGGGTCACTAGCGTGAAAATCCAATACGCTTATCGATTACGCTATTTGAAGAACTACTCTTACTTCACTTGTATGTACATATAATTCTGCAACAGTTAATCTGTCTTGGAATTATGAAAGAAGGGTCACTATTCATAATTTCGCGCCAAACGCAACGAGTAAATCTTAGCGAATTTCTCTTGGAATGTTCATGGTCCTTCGGATGAGACGGTATAGACCGAGGCCCCGTGTCACAGCAGGTGTGGCAGGATAAAGATCCCTCCCTGCTCAATGGCCCTGAGTGCCGAGCATAGGCCCAAATTTGCAGCCCTTCACCGGCAATGGTGCCGTCTCCATATCAGTGAAATATTCTGGAGAGGGACGTTAAACAGTATACAATCAATCAATCAATCGTATATAGGCAAATAACACTAAAGCAGTGAAACAGCTATGAATGGTTAATTTTTCAATTTTCAATCACGAAAGTTGACTATTCCGATTACTTACACTTTCATGAAAAAAGGTGGTATGTTTCACCGAAAAAAAAAATGCCTCGATCGCCCTACGAGGGTCAAGAAATAAGATTCCATTATGTTCAATAACTTGCATTGAGAAAATAAAATGTTTATATAGGTCAATTAAACGGTCTTTGAAAAATTGTTATCTTTAAAAATAAAATATTTTCTTATTGTAACAGTTGTCCTTTCTATTGATTTAATATGACACAAGTGTGCATTAGAAAACAGTGGTCACGTTTTTTACTTACTACATTCTTGAAAAACTATTAATTATAACTATGATTTAAACTATGTGTTACCGTGATGCAAAACAAAAGATATAGATATTGTACTTCATTTGCACATTAATTCTTTTCTATTTCTACTTTGAGAAACAACCAAAACCAATTAAAGCCGGAAGACTTGTAAGTAGACCTTGGATTATAAATGTAGTTTGACACCGAATTGCAACGAACCTACGACGTGACAATCCAAGTATCCCTACACATTTCATTGCTCCTTATGTTACTTTCGTTCAAGCAAACACTCGGCTGCCTCTGTAAACCCCTACTGCGAAATGTCGGAATTGACAGAAACCACCGCCATTAAGATCACGCTTCAGACTTTTGAATGTTAATATCTCGAGTTCGAATTCATCAATTTACAAACAAATTATATATTCAGCCTAACGAGAAATGTATCTATCAACCATACAAATATGATTTGAAAATATTGAAAAACAAAAAGGTTCAAAAATTTGACATTTTTTCTTTGCATGCCGTTACGACAGGAAGTAGAGACGACGTACAAAAGATTGCGTCTTGGATAGTACTTATCACGATCTATAATCCCTCAAAGTTTCACAGTGATATCTTTTACTGTTCTTTAGATTATCCGCGAACAAAATGTCAATTTAAAATCAGAAAATTGTCCGTAACTTGGCACCAGAAAGGAATTTCCAAAACATCTCCAGGATATAATAACTACAGATAGGAACACATTGTTCCTGCAAATTTCATAAAAATCCATCCAGTTGTCTTCGAGAAATCACGTGCACAAAATTTGATGGTCAGAAAAAAAAATAATTATAACGAGCTCAGGCGAGCTTCAACGCCTTTTGCGCTGGAAAGATATAGACTCAAAAAAGCAATTTAGCAATCCTTCCTCTACCTTCACTGAAAATCTCAAGTCAATATCTTCATTCGTTTTTTAGTGATTGCCCGGACAAGCTGACCCTCTTAAAATCAGTAAATCGTCCATATCTCACGACCGGAAGTGACGACGTACTTATAAAAAATTTCCAATAAGGTTCAGACCAATATCTATCAGATCTGAAAGTTTCGTGAAAATCGACCGAGCCGTTTACGAGAACTGGCGTGCACAAAAATCGGTAAGAAAAAAAAAAAAATAATAATAATAATAGGGAAAAAGAAACCGAACGAAAACAATAAGGTCTTCCGTTGGAAACGGAAGACCTTAATAAAAAGAAGAAGAAGAAACAGTAGAATCACTAGAAGGTCTTCCGTGAAAACGGAAGACCTTAATAAGAATAAGAAACAGTAGAATCACTATAAGGTCTTCCGTGAAGACGGAAGACCTTAATTACAAATTGTCGCATAGGTTCACGTCAGAAAATGGCTGACGGAAAATAATTCCTGAATTTTCCTCTTTAACTCGAGCAATCCTGCATTGGACAGGTCTGATGTTTGTTATGAGTTGATAAACCACGTGTAAACTTTCTTAGTTCAGCGGAATCATGGACATTTTCGGCGTTATGAAAGTTTTGTTTACTGTAGCGGTGAGGGCATCGCGCAGCTATTGGAGCAGATCCAAGGATTTATGAATGAATAAAAAAGATGGAAATAAAGTTTGATTTCTTCTGTATTATTTAATGACATTATTCATTTGCAAGTAATAGATATATACAAGAAAACGCGAAATGCTAATAAATGCAGCTGAAAATCTTTATTTTCTCAAGATAAAAAAAAAATTAAATTAAATAATTATAAATTCTACATACAAAACATAGGAAGAATGAATGATGGCACGTTATCAGATGACATCAGGGGAACTGATTTTTTTGAATGAAACTTTTAAAACGTTACTTGTACGTTGTAGATGTTATATCTGCGAAGTCTACCTGTCTGCGCGCTTCCGGGAGGGGAGGGGGGGGGGTTCTTGAATATAGACTTGTAAATTACCATTATTTTGTAAAAAGAATTAAGCCTTATCATTTTCTTTACTTTAAGAAGAGTGTCTTGTTATGTAAATGTCAAGGTCAGTTTATGTAGAATGTAAAAATTAAAGCCGAATTGGCATTCATTTCAATATGTGAGAAAGGTGGGAGCTAGGTCTTTTACAGTTCACAAAAAAGAAATGGGGGGGGGGATAAGATGAACACATATAATATATTCAATATACACACTTTATTTACTAAAATCTCGTCTCAATTGAACCAGGGAAGTTTTTTCTACAGGTCCTTTCGCCATCGCGTCCAAGACTTTACCTGCACACTTGTGTATTGCACAATGGGTTTTCCCCCCGCGAAGTCTATTTATGAGAAAATGATATGAATATTTTTTAGTGTTTAAGGAAACGTTGAACCTACGTTTGCGAAAGTTCTCAGATATTCAAAGATATTTAATTCCTTCTTAATCAAATCAAGAAACTGTTTATACGTAAAATCATCAAAAAGGGGCTTTAACTTTCACCATGAATATCACAGAAAAAAGAAGAAAGAAAGACAAAGAAATGTTCAAAATCGAGTTTTAATTCCCTTTTCTGTGACGACCGGAAGTATTGACGACGGAAAAAATGTTAATGGACAAATCTTCAAGTCATGATCTATGATATCTGAGACAGTTAACTTTCATATCTTAATCTGTTCTGGAGAAATGGACCGGACAAAGGTCATTTCCAAAATTTGGTCAATACGAAAATAGTAAGAATACTAGATACGATCTCGTTGCGAGCAACGAGAGGTCTTCCGTCCGATTCAGGAAAAAAACTTGTAAAATCGAGCTGAAAACTGATTCAAAATTTTGATCACAAGGAGGATTGAATCCAGGTCGCCAACGTGAATGTGCCTTTTTTTCTCTTTTCTCCCCAACGCGCCAACCATTTAGCTATTGGGAATACTGCTTTAAATATACTTGTGTATACTTTTGCATCAGTACACCTGTCTAAGATTCATAAAAGGCGGGCCACTATTCATAATTTCGTGTCAAACGCCACGCGTAAATATTCGCACCTTTCCTTTGTACTGATCTATTAAAGAGGTGCAATAGCTTCAATGAAATTAATTAATAAAACATTCTTATCACCTTTATTTTATTTCGGCGTTAGGAAAGTATGTTTAACACATTGTACACATTACATATCGTATCTAGCCCAGTAACGCTAAAGCAGTGAAACGGAAATTAAGATTTAAGATTGACACTGAATTGCAACGTACTACTACGTGAGAGTCCAAGTAGTTTTTTGCATTTCATGTATCCTTATGTCAGAATGGTTTAATCAAACGCTCAGCTGCCTCCATAAACCCCTACTCGCGAAATGGCGGAGTTGACAGAGACAGCCACCATCTTGGACCCGCTTCAGATTTTCAAATATTAATATCTAGAGTTCAGATTAACCAATATTAAAACAACTTATATAGTAAGCATCAATAGAAGTGTCTCTTTTAATATTCCAAAAATAAATGAAAAATATTGAAAAACAACGAAAGTTGAAAAATTGGACTTTTTGAATTGGCTTCCGGTAGCAACAGGAAGTACTGACGACGAACGAAAAGTCGCGTCCTGGAAAGTATCGATCATCATCTATAAACTCTGAAAGTTTCAAATTGATATCTTTTACCGTTTTTGAGTTTAATGGTGGACAAAATGTCGTTTTAAAATCAGGAAAATGGTCCCAAACTTGGCACCAGAGAGGAATTTCCAAAAACTGTCTTGGGACTTTGAAGAGTATCTTACAACACATCTTTTCTGAAAATTTCATGTAATTCTATCCAGTAGTTGTCGAGAAATCGTGTCAGAAAATAATAATAATAATAATAAGAAACAGTAGAATCACTATAAGGTCTTCCGTGAAGACGGAAGACCTTAATAATGATAATAATAATAATGATAATTGATTTTTTTTATGTAGCGCCTTTCTAGCATAAATATTAATGCCACTCAAATACGCTTTACAATACATTATTACTCCAGCAGACCTTAACAATCCAAAATCTCTCCCAGAGCAAGTTCCCGTTAAGGCGATAAAACACTAACATTCTGACAATATCTTTCACTGTTTATAGCCAGGTACCCCTTTTACACATGGGCGGAGTGAAGAAATTCGTGTAAAGTGCCTTTCCCAAGACCACAACGTTAACTTGCCGCGGCCAGGATTCGAACTAACAACCTTTCGGTTTGAAGTCCGGCACCTTAACCACTAGACTACCGACGCATGTAACTGTGTAAAATAAAAAAAATCAAATTGATAAATAAGAAAGTGAGGTTTTTAATTAATTTTATACATCATGATAACAATTTTAATCATTAGCGTGTTTTAGCAGCTGAAAAGTTAGAGTCAAAAAACCAACTGTCATCTAACTGTACGTCAGCAGGATCTGAAAATACTAACTGCCAGCAGTAATGTTCACAGGAACTAAAGTCTATGAGAAAATATTTAGAGAACGAGACAAATTGTCTATCGTACATACACATTATTTGATGGGCAATTGTGATTGGGTTTTGGTTGAGTTTTCTTCTTAATAGAAATGGTAAACGTTTCTTTCTTTTTTTCCATTATTATGGCATGTGGAGGATGATTGATTGATTGTATGTTGTTTAAAGTCACAGAATTTTTCACTCATATGGAGACGCCACCATTTGCCGGTGAAGAGCTGCAAAGTTTGCCTTATGCTTGGCACTCAAGGCCATTGAGCAGGGAGTGATCTTTTTCTTGCCAGCATCTACTGCGACACGGGAGCTCAGTTTATACGGTCTCATCCGAAGGACCAGGCATGTGGAGGAAGAAATGTGATGTATTTCTTTAATTTTGTCTTTATTCAAATACAGGCATTACAAGTTCTCTTCCGCGGACTTTGATTTCAAAAATGTTAAAAATTTTTAATAATATATTAATAACTTCCAGTAAAAGGGAATGCCTCGGAGTCAGTAATATATGTTTTTGCATTTGCCATAATTATATTTGTTTTTCAGTTCTCTGTATTTTAGATGCAGACCATTTTCCCTTCTTTCTCACGTAAAAAAGTAAAAAAGCGACGAATTCTAATTAGTAAAATAACTGGAACATACGAATTCTAATTACCTAAGTCACATGTACATAAATAGAATTCACAACATGATGCTCACGTACCTCGTCATTACGGCAAAAGAGATTTTTAACAATTTTTGGGAAAATGTAATCCTCATTATCTTGAGCTTCTATCCGTCTGAGTGCGTCATATCCAAAGTAAGGGTACCGTATGTCAGAACTAAATACGACAAGGCTTGGTGTATCATCAGAAGTATTATCTGTTCTGTTTGTAGAATCGGAATTGTCCGACTGAACAGGCACCAAAGTTGGGTCCTTTTTCGAATTGTCTCCCCATGCACAGTGTGTGTAGTTTGTACCTATTCGAATGGCAATAAATAGGTCATATGACATCCTTTTCTGAAACATGAAAATGGCATTTTTTATTATTGTGTTTACTAATTGGGAAGATATGGTTAAATATAATGGTAAAATTATAGTTTATTTTACTTTGTAGAGCAAAACTGTACAAAATTAAATGCGCATGTACATGTAATTAAATTGGATTTATTAATACTACCATGCATTTTGGCAATAAAAGCAGCACGGTCCCAATGATGAATTAATGAATTAACCATTTTAACGTGAAGAAGTTATAACTCATCGCTTCACCAAAATTTCGGATAGCATTACCAGAAATATTTTCCAATCAACTGCAAATTTGAAAATCTAAATTAACTGTTTGTTAAGGTCTACAAATATAACAGAAAAGGGTCACATCTAAATCTAGGTTTGCAGTTAGTTAGCATCTCGTTCCATGTTAAGTGAGCCTTTTGATCACTGGGCTGTATTTATACGATGCAGTGTGTGTCAATTTCATTTGAAAGTTATAAACGTATTTATCCGATTTCCAAAATACTCTTTTAATGCACCAAGAAAGGTTTCAGTAAAGATTTATTAATATTTTGGGTATTGTTTAAAAAAAATCGGAATGAAAAATGAATATAAAATTTCGGTAATACAAAGCTGAGACACATATTTGCAAAAATAATACTTAAAAGTTATTTTTCAAACAAAATATAAACATTACACAGTAAACATGAAAGACGATAAAAATCAATCAACGTTTAAAATTCTTTCTATCAAACTTTGGAGTTTTAAATAGATCTATCGTCTGCTGGTCACGTGACGGGCTGTTTACATATAAACATTGCTTATTCTTCTTAGCGACGATACGTAAACTAAGGTAAATAAAACTTAACTGGTTATATATGAAATATACATGGCTATTGTAAAAATTCGGATATATTTTCCTTGATTAGCAATGTTTAATTATGAACACATTTGAAATTGCATATCTTCTGACATTCCAGCAAATCAAAATCAATAAAAACTTAAACATTCTCTTAATCAGTTACTCAAATCATGCTTAATAAAAACAAGAGAGAAATAATGTACATTATATTTACCTATGGTGAAATTCAATCAGATAATTCATAAAGTTCGTACAGAACAGAATTGCACAATCATTTAAACCAAAGTAAAACTGGGTAAGTCTGAGCCTGTTTGATCACTTCTCCGGAGTGTAACGAGAAAATCAACAATACATTTAAAGTATTGAATACCCCAGGCTTTTAAATCCTATATGTATACAGACGTGAAATGACTTCCTATCTTTTTGTGAACTGGGTTTTGTGATGCACTTTAGGATCTTTTAACAGGTAATTAGATTTCCATTCGATATGGTCTCAAAGTCATTTATCGTAGCATTTATTTTATTAAGAAAAGCAAATTATTGTTACTTCTCATTCATTATTCAAAATGGTTAAATTTGAAAAAGGTTTTCTTATGTTTTAAAATAAATAGTTGAAAGCAGAATTATTGTGCATTTGTATTGTAAAATGAAATAATTTAAATAAAAACTTTAAATGTTAACAGCATTTAATTTAAATTTTAGTATGTGTAATAAATATTTGTCTTATTTTTGTGAAATTCCAGGGTTACTGTTTTACTTAAAATGAAAGAGAAACGAAAGTGCGCCCCAGGTAAGTTTAGGACCAGAACATAAGTGTCATAAAGATAATGAAGTATTCTTTCCTGAATGACTTCAACATGATTTATCATGCAAAGATCTTTTATATTTCAGAGTTGCAACAGAAAGCTTAAAATATATAAGAATTTTCTACAATAACATCATTAGAAAATGAATAGCAATGAATCACTGAATGCCAGTTAATTAATCCGTACATTGGTTTTACTCATCCAAAAATAAAATGTCTGGAATAGAAATTATCATTGCAATCAAATTCGGAACAAACTACAGCACGAACGCTTACATGATCAATGATGGCCGAACCCGAGGAACCCCAAGTGTACACCGTCCCTTTCCAGAAACACGCTACTAGTTCAATGTCGCTCATCACCCCTACAGTAGCTCTCTTTACTGAATACGGAGTATTCTAGTCGTACGGATTTGATGCTGAATACCAGAATCTGCAACAAGGCGATAATGACAAGCACCTGCTTTTTCGGGACTTTATTTGGGATCTTTTCTGTGTTACTGATGAGGTCAGTTTATTCCAATGCTCTTCAAAGCTTCTCCTTTGAAAAAAATAACTTAATTAATATGAGATCAGTAAAATATAAATTCTACAGTTAAAGTGTAATGTTTTTTTTAATTATGAGAGTAGGAAAGTATATTGGTAACATTTATTTTCAGGTTCCAAAAAATATAAAGGCAGTAAACGAAAAAGAAATGAAGTCAATTGATGTTATGTCAGCAGTTTTATCATATATGGATGGTCACATAAAAGCTGGGATACAAAAACGTTCCATAGACGTATCCCTGAAGTATGTTTTAACGGTGCCGACATGTTCATGTGACGATTCCAAGTGTTTTATGCTGAAAGCTGCAGAACAAGTTATAAGTTTAGTTCTCTTCAGAGAATAATAACAATTGATGAAAGAGAGAGAGAGAGAGAGAACTAGAGATTGTACAGGAAACTGTTTATTTTTCCCAATACATTCAATGCACATCACACGTTATATTGTATATTCCAGGCAGGCTTTCCTTCTGATAAAATAACAATAGTTGAGGAAGCTGCAGCCGCTCTCTACTTCTGCATACAAAACCCAGTACTTTCAGCTCTACCAAGACCAACAAGGAATCAAACCAATTCATATGTGCTTGTAGAATGCGAAGGTTTGTATCTTCTTCATAAAGGATGACTGCACTTAAGGAACCTTAGAAATTGCGACATAATTAATTTTAAAAATGGGCATATTTCTTTTAATGGTAGAACTGACCAATGTCTTAACTGCAACTTTGTGTAATTACGTTAATTAAAAGTTCGTATTAACGAAGTTCGAAGTCGTTTTTATAGGGAGGGGTCATCGCATATCCAGGAATCTCCATAGGAGAATGAGTACGCCCACCTTTTTACAGGTTTAATACATAGTCAGCGCATGTTTGTCTATTGTTCTCCTTTTTATGGTAGACCATGGTTTTTGAGGGGTGAAAATTTTCAATGTTACACTCAACTACATGCAATATTTATTATATTATACTGAATGTTTTATACAAATACATATTACAGTGAACCGTGCGCGCATAAATTCCGCGCAGTCGCTATTTTTTGTAATACCACCCGTCGTCAGGCAATGTTGACTGTTGCTACGCAGGAGGGCGTGGCTTCATTATTCAGCGGGTAGTAGTGTTTTTTATCAAATGTTTCTCGACGAATCAGATTCAAGTAATTTACATGAAAGCATAATATTTATATATATTACCTCATATTAAAAGGAGATCAATAGACAAACATGCGCTCATGGTTAAAATGAAAAAAACCTGTTTCTTCGTGTGTTCACTTTCTCTGTAGTAAACAGGCCATTTTGACCACGTTGTTACCTGTTGAATATTATAATTAACCACGTGATTTCTATACCCAGGTAACTCTGTGAATACTAAAATTCCATCACGTGACGTGTAAGGAAACACGCACTGTGCTGGGCGATAGTGATTGTCCATATCTGTTTCAATCCATTCCCATCGAGCCAAGGGTTATTCTTTTTTCTCTTAGATATCTATAAGATTATTCTTATATTTATCTCAAAAGCGTTTCATTTTACTACATCTATATATTTTCGAGTGCATTATATGTCTCTACATGTTCGTAGTCTACCAGAAAAAAGAGATTTATTTATTATGTTTTGAACCATCGCTTATCATGAACATCCAAAGTAAGATCCATTAAATAAAAATGAAATCATATCATTCCCAGCACGTTGATTTATGGAGAGAAGAAAGAGTAATTGTGACGTTTTTCTTTCTTTTTTCATAAAAAGGGAAAAACAAAGCAAGTCTTAATGTTGTTAACGGGTCTCGATTCAGACCTCAATATCCTTGATTCTGTGCATTACCGACTGAGCTAGTCGGCACTTATATTCGAACACGCGAATTGTTGAAATCAGTCATTGCTGTTGATTATCAATGACTACTTCTACCGGTCGATGTTATTTGTTATTAGTTATATACTTTATTTTAAAACTTAAAAAATAATAGTGACAAACATATGCCGAGAGAGGGAGAGAGAGAGAGAGAGAGAGAGAGAGAGAGAGAATGCACTAAATATACTAGTAAATACAGTAACTATTCTAATTTTAGATCACCACTCTTCACAATATTAGCTCCGCCTCTTATGCATATTTATAAATCTTATCTTCAATCAAGGGCAGAGAAGTCTAATTCCCCGATATTTGCAGAGAGAAGGGGTAAGAAAACGACAAATTATTTTATTGCAACGCAGTTTATAAGCTTTATGACATTGCCTTTCATTTGGAAATAGACCAAACTCTATAACAAAAGACTTAAGGCAAAAATAAAAACAAACATAAATGTGACAACAGAGATTGAAAAAGACCCAAAAACCGGCGTTAAGTGTAGTCATCCTTTCGATTTTCCGGCAGAATGAACATTTCATCAACAACATTTTTAGATATTTATGAATCAAAACTGAATTTGAAAAGCAGCGAGGATGCCGAGACATTGAGTTCTTTTTTCCATTAAGTTCAATTTCATTATACAGTTAACAAAAATAAGCAATAAGAATCATAATTCTTTAAGGTACAGAAATCTTGTCTGTTGATCTTTTTTCAATTAAAGAAAATTGCATTTGTTTGGGGGTTTTATCCGTTTTCTTTCAAGCTACCATTACAATATCTCACGCAGTTGGGCGCTCTTTTAGTGATTTTGAAGACCGAGAGTTCAAATCTCAGACTCAACTGACCTAAATTATTTTTAAAAAGTAGCAACTGTTCCGTCTCTTCGCCATGCACACAGCCTCCTGATGTGAAAGTTGCGGATTACACGTTAAAAAACCTATACTCCGTGTCACGACCGGGGTTGGCACAATAAAGTTCCCTCAAATGATTTCTGAAAAGCCCTGAGTACTTAGTAAAGGTCTAAATTTGAAGACTATCGAAGGTATTTAGTGATGTCTCTATATGAGTGAAAAATTCTCGATTTCGACGTAAACACAATAACAATCAATCATCAATAGTCGGTATTACGACTTTGTCAGCAATAACAACCAATTTATCTCTGATATAAATAAGTGAGTATAGAACGATGCTTTAATACGAATTGCAACGTAATTTTTATTATATACACTGAGTTTCAATTTTTCCAATCTTGACAAGGATGTGTCCGGTCAACGGGGATTGCTTACTCTTTCATGGCATCTTATCCTACATGTGTAATGTATCTCAGAGGTCCATGTTTGCTCTGCTCCAAATTGTTTTAAGAAAAGTTTTTAGTTTGTATTCTTTGCTATATTTTTCTATTATTTTTTTTTTTTTAACACTTTTTTTATACTAAATAAAATAACTGAACTTAACTTCACAACTATTTACGTATTCTCATTTCTAGACGACAATACCAACATTTCGGTTCTAAAATGTCCCAGCCAGGAGACTATGAGTATAATCTACAGAGATAACGCGAAAATTTGGGCAAGTTGTCAAGTTCAAAAAGACTTCGAGGAGCTATTTGCTCTGATTGTCAGTGAGTCGTTTTTGAATTATTTTCTTCACAAATACCCGATGGAGTACTATGATAACATCCAGGAGCTTAAGAGGAAAATCAACAGTACTCAGTCAGAATCCGAAAAAGTGACGATGAAAATGCCAGCTTGTCTGATCGAAAAATTTAAAAGAAAGACCGGGAAAAACATTGAGAAGGCCGGCCGAAAGACAGTACTTAAAGACAACATTGAATTTAAATTAGATAAATGTAAGATATCATCTGAGGTGTTCCAAAGTCTGTTTTCTGACGCCGGGAAACATTGTTAAATATATGGAGAAAGGAATATTAGCAAAGTACCCAGATGTGGAACATATCATTCTTGTAGGAGAGTTTGCACAATCACCCATTTTGCAGACTATCATAAAGGAATCGTTTCCCTCCAAAACTATTTTGATCCCTCCAGAAGCAGGCATGGCTGCAGTGAAAGGAGCTGTTCTTTTTCGGACAAAATCATGTTTTTCTAGAAACCGTGGTGAGTTATAAATTTTCATATATATTTTAGTTTTGGTTTCTCATTCTCTCTTAAAATAGAAATTATTTTAATTTTGAAATTTTTACTGAATTAAGGAATTCATGTACCTTGTAATGAACGTGAACGCCTTTGAAAGTGGTTTTACTTTTAAAAGTATTTAAGTACAATTGAATTATTATACTATATTATTATACTTATTATTATTATTTTTATAGCAATGTCCACGAAGAAGTAGAACACCCGAGCCTGACGATACTGGACAACTGGAGGAAGTTGTTCAAAGTCCAAGGTCTTACAGAGCAGGAAAGAATGAGGCTACAAACTTATCAGCGACAAATGAGTCGTTTTCAGATTTACAAAGAGTCGTGCCTCCTTCTGAGAGAAGAAATAGAAGTCGTTTATGTGTCATTCAGTAATTGATAAAAACATGAGAAACCAATGGGAAATACCCATGGAAAATAAAGAACATGGTGAAACGGAAACAAAATAAAAAAAAAGAAAAAACCTACTTTTTATTTTTATTGTCAGCTTTGTGTTGTATCAGTTTCATGTAAACACTCTATTATGATAAAAATCATGATTGAACCAATTTGTCTGTACAATGAAAACTGCTAAACGACCTAAAGGGAAAAAAATGTATGTTAAGTTACAATCCACTTAAAACAAAACTTGCGTTAAATTTTGAACTAGTTTAATGCACTTTGAAATAAAAATATCTTCAAATTGCGTTGATATCGACCATATTTTACGCACTTTGATAAATTGTGCAAGGCCTGGTAAATATCTTTACAATATAGAGATAAATTAAATAATCTGTTTTACCTGGATAACTTTTTGAAAATGGTGTCTTTTCAGGATCTGTCATTTAGACTTTTTATATTGACTTTTTACATATGCCACTTAGGGGTGCATAAAAGACGACAAGTGTAACATTCTTATGAGTGAAAATGTACCTAATATAGGTCAAAATTATATGGCACTAAATTTTATTATATGTTCGATCAGGGAAGTTTTTAATTTGTGTGGTCATTTGATCGGTTTATTTGTAATACATATTTTATATCTATATCATAAAATATAAAAAGAATATATATATTTCGAAAAACACTTTTTGTGAATTATACTGAAAGGAAAAAGAAAGGCTGGATAAATGTTTGAAGTGAAATAACTTTATTTTTCCTCATGTTTTTTCTAGTATTTCTATCTATCGTTTAAAATCATCTTTAATAAAAATGTAACAGAAATTCCATTTGAGTTTGCTTTATAATTCGTAAGTTATTGAAACTGATATGACAATAACAACCACCGCCCAAATTAAAGTGAAAATGAGTAATTCTCATTATCTTCAATGTCTCCAAGTTCTTGTTTTTCTGTTGCATGAGGTTCATCAGTGTGTTTATCTTACAAATAAGGATATTTTTCAACCTTTTCAACAAGATAGCCCTTAGTTGAATGAGACCATCTTGGGCATTTCAAACCCTTTCTTTCACACACCACCACAGATGTTCAATGAACAAAAGATGAACTTTACCAGTCGAGTAGGTAAATGTGATTGTTTGCTAGAAGGTCTTGATAAGCTTAGACTACATAAGGCCGGAGTTGAACCCGCCGAAAAATAAGGCAAACGGCGTGCACATGTGCAAGTGAGGAACACCAACGTAAAAATGAGTTTCATGTTGAATGTAATGATTATGATAATCTATATTATTAAAAGAAGTTTTGTGATAGTTTTGTGATAGTAAGGTGGCGATTAAACAGATGTTAAGACGAATAACCTGCTCTTGACATGGCTCTGTTACGCGTCAACGTTATCGTCACAATTGATTGAAAACCATCCAAGGCCCTCTCTGACGACGATTAAGAGTTCCATGGGGGAAAATTTACTAGCAACTGCACAGCAAGCCGTTGTTACCTTTGTTCTAACTTAGTCAACGTAAAAGCCAGACCCCATGGAACTTCCGTGAACGTTTAAGGATTGCAAGAAATGTATTTTGTCTATAAATGCTCAAAACAAATGTGTATATCTAAAGTGCATCAAATGGTATAAGAAGATTGTTCATAGACTTTTTGTCGTTAAGTTGCACGTGTTTTTGGCTTTTTAGCACTTTTCCTTTGACGTGATAAATTTCATGGTTGAGTACTTCTGAACACGGATTTTAGTGCATAGTAACCAGGTATCTCACCTGACCAATTTTCGCTATTTTTGGTTTTGAGGTTAAAACGTTTGGTATAAATGTTTCTTTTTCCTTTCGGTATATGTATCAAATCATATTATTGAATAAAGAATGACTGCACTTAAGTACGTAATTTGGAACCTTTTCGGCTACCCATTATAAGCTTAACATTACAATATATCACTAAATTAAGCTACGATTAATGTGCAAGTATATGCTTTTGATATTTAGTTCTAGAATTTTTGTCGTACATATAATTTCTATAATTACAGAAAATGTAATTGAAAAGAACACGTGAAAGCCTTAAATTCCGGAAAATTGAACGGGACCACTTTCGAATTTAAGGTATCCGCAAATAGGCGGAGACATTTAAACCGCATGGTTGTGGAATGTAAACATTGGCACAAATGATTTTTTCGCACTATAAGAATTTAAATGGAGAAGAGAGAGATTGTGCTGATTTTCATGTACCTACTAATGACACTGTTAATACCAGAATTCTTTCACAACACCCCTAATGGAAAGCATAAAGTTGAATAAGAGACATATTATCTTCAAACCCTATTAAAAGAAAGTGGGCGCACAAGATGGGCAGTCAGCAGGAATCATTGACACGAAACAATTCAGATTTAAATGTCCAAGAACCAAATACATATCTTATACAATAACCTAGAAACTTCATGGGAATGGATTTCTGTCTTATGTTTGTTTATTTGTAAAATTTTTTTTCAATTAAAAGGTGTCATGAAAGATAAATTATCTATGCTAGATACATTTAATAGAATATAATAGAAGTCTAACACTAAATGATTTTTGTGCTCACTTTTCAAATGCACTGAAAATAATGAATGTAATAGAACGATCGAAGTTGCTAGTTTTTTTTTTAAACATATTCAATATTTTTTCATCAGGTGTAACTTTGTAGTTACAAATTCTCAATGTTTATTACAGTCTGGGAACTTTAGCACTATAAATGACAAAATGTGAACGCATTGAAATATAAAACAATTAAAGTAAAATTATTTATAAAACATAATTTTGAAAGTTTATTCAAGAAGTATTTTTTTTTACTACCAATTCAAAAATTTTAAGCAAAAATTAAAAAAAGATAAATTAAAATAAAAATCTCTGTATTCGAACCTAAAATGCTGCGTCGATATTGCTCAAATCTAGCGACAAACCAATGTAGCTACCGCGGGACACTATCCATAGCTAGTATCTTAATCATTATTTAAATCCAAAGCCCTATATTATTGGACTTAGTCAATTTTCTACCAGAAAATAAATAGAAAAAGTTTAGATTTTGGTATTTCTGGCTCGTCTCTCCATTTTGTAAACAACTGGAATAAATTTTACGGTTAAAAATACACTGATAACGCATTTAAAATTCATGGAGAGAATACCCAGAAACAACAAAATAAATAAAAAACGGTTATAAAAGTCAATTTTTGCATCATTTGACTCGTATGGCTATATTCATGGGCATATTCAAATAAAACCCAACATATTTAACTGAAAATTTGCCCATTTCACATTCACCTACGACACAGTCATTGGCTAGGTTTTGAAAAAAATGTATAAATCAATGATAATTTTTCATTCTTTTTATGAGCCACTATTCCTGCCGAATCGCCATCTAAAGCGCCCACTTTTTTGCGCAAAGATCTCCCATAGTTTGAAGTTGGATGTACGATAGATACTGTCACAACAGAGACTTCAACACAATGAAATTTTCAATGAAAGCGTAAGCGTATCGAACAGCATATGCATACCGGTTTTCAACGACTTTGTTTACATCGAGCCGCAACTTGGCCATTTTTCTTATTTGCACAGAATGTGTATTTTAACTAAAACTTATACATATCCAAAGGACAATGTTGGCCAAGTTGCGGCTCATATCTAATTTTTAAAAAAAATGTCCCCAAACTAGGGTCGAGATAGCCACTAAATTAACCGGTCACCGAGAATCAGCGATTGATATTATAATGAATAACAATAGAAAAGAGACAAAACTGTTAGACTCCCGTCTCAAAAGCTAGTGTCGCTCGGCATTGTTTAATACTTTCATGTAATATAATATACCAAAACCTGCTCTTAAGGTGTTGTTTAATACCTTTAAAACATAAATTTAATGAATTTTGGAATTTTATTTTGCGCAAAACATCGGGATCCAACTCTCATAGCTTAAGTGCAGTCATTCTTTGTACTACACCACCAAAGTCCCCAAAAGGGACCCTTGACTCGTGTCTACGAGTATAGTTATTCAAAAGGTAATATATTGGAGCTAGTAACTGATACACCCTATAAAGGGACGTATGAAAGAGAATAAAACCCAGAGAATAAATCTGCAATTTGTTTTCTGCCATATACCCATATACCCAGAAATATCGCAATGAATACATAAAACACAAGGCTTGTCCCATAAAAAAAACTGAAGGCAGAAATGATTATCGTAGACTTAGGTAAATAGACAAAATTGCCAAATTTATATACCCCTTGGTACCTAGAAAGGTACATTTATTACAACAGACACGTTTTGTCAACCGATGCAATTACATGTAACAGGAATACGCAATACAAAACTCTCCATGCAGGTTGATTTATTTCAAATGATGAATTTTTCTTTGATTATAAATGCCGTTCATGTTATGAACAAAACATGGAGTTTTAACTGAGTGTAAATATTATATATGTACGAAATCATTAATCTCGATATCGTCGAATATTGGTATGAAAATATTGTACAACAAATGCAATAAAATATTTACGACAGAAATGCAAGTAAATTGAGCTACCTTTTAATAAAAATGTGGCCTTAGTTCACCAGTAGACCGATATTTTCAGGATCGATATTGACATCCATAGTCAATGGCGTAGCATCGTTTTTGAAAGTGGGGGGGGGGGGGGGGGGGGGGGGGGGGGGGGGGCGGCCCCGCCCCCCCCCCCCCCCACACCAAAAAAAAGAACAAAGCGAAAAAAAACAAAAAAAAAAAAAAAAAAAAAAAAAAAAAAAAAACAAAAAAAAAAAAAAAACAAAAAAAAACAAAGAAACAAAAAAAAAAAAAAAAAAATAAAGAATGGAAAAAATGAAAAAGTTGCCCAAAGTTTAAAATCCTATTTCGTGGGGGAGGGGGTAAACTTTTTCTCAGTGATAACTACTTTTAGTACCAATTCTAATACTACATTTTCGGTAAATCAATTTACGTCTTAAAGTGGGGGGGGGGGGGGGGCCCATCAGGCTTTCAATTAACATTTCCTATTGTATAAGTAAGGCTGGGAAAAAAGAGGGGGGGGGGCAGGCCCCCCTGGCCCCCCTGTTGCTACGCCCCTGATAGTCCAATACGTAAGTCTCGTTTTAAAATAGATTTCTAGATTTTGTTTTATTTTCATAAAAAAGAGATGTAATATGAGTAAGGAAAACGTCTATTGCAATAATACTTTTGTATCTCATCCTTTTTCTCTAAATATATGCATTTATCTTTAAAGCAGGCGAATAATCCAGTTTCGTTTTATAATTCATGAATTGTAAGCACTCTAGGTTCAGTATTCTTGATATTGCTTCTAATAAATTTCCATAAATTATGTTTAAACATTGACAGTGATATTTTTTAAAAACTGTTTATATAAATCAAATTAACATGAATTCATCGAGACTGGAATGAGAAATATCAATGTAAATTGCCTTAAAGGGATCTGGGTACACTAACCCTTACCTTACTTAAAAATTACGAGTATATTATTCATGATTCAGATTCATTTGATAATTTCAAATGATTGTATGCACAGATTTTACAGAAAATGGCTGAGTATAACGTCACGGTGGGAATTCGCATAGGTACAAATTATGCGTCATAATATATATAAATTATATGCATGGAATAAATAATCCATTGAAGATCCGGTTTTTGTGAGTGCACAGTGGATAAACTCCACAACGAGATTATTATGTTTAGAGACGCCTACAATCGCATTGTTTGATTCCGATAAGAATCTCCGAGCATTTGAATTTGAAGCGGAAAAAGAAATATATCAACAAACCCAAAACGATCTTCTAATTTTTCCAGAATTCATACAGGATCTCTTCTGTAATGGGATTCAGGTAAATTACACTTCTTAAAGTCCAAGTTATAATTTCAAACAACTTTCAATTAAATATACTACATGTAATCCCCCGTTGAACGGTCAAATCCGTCAAGGGTCGCATGCATTTTTCAGGTAGATGTACAATGATAGAATATTTTGCTAACAAGGCCATTATATTAAACTACCATAAAGGACAAGAAAGGGTGACAACCGAATCTGGCCCCTTACTTGATGTAAAAATGAGAACACTGGTAAAATTGTGATAGTTTGTAGTTAAGAAGTTGACATGATAGCTGCTTTAAGTCTTTAGAGGGTGCAAATATTTTAAAGTACATTTTCCCGAATTTCCTCAATTCTGGTAAAATTTCATCATATTTGAGATACTTTTCTCTTTGGAAAACAAAGGCACAAACTTGCCTATCTGAGATTTTTACACATAAACTGCATCTGATACTAGTGCATAAAATATAATAATTTGGTAGATAGGCAAGCTTGTGTTCTATGTTTTCCGAAACTAAATGTTCTGCATTATGGATGGAAATTTGCACAAAAAAGAAGAAGAGAGAAATCGAAAATTGACATATGTCCTGCCCTCTGTTTATTCCAAAACTTAGAATCAATACTCATTTTGTGGCAGGGGTAACAAGAGTTTTTTTTATGGATAAACTGCTGCATCATTTTGAAAGACACTCAAAATCGGGGACCAGACAGGGTTCTTACCATATCTTGTCTTTTACAAAATGAGGAAGAAGAAGGTATGGTTTCCATACAAATTTTGCCCTGTAAAAAATGAAACTGGTGTAAAAGTTGAAAACTCATGCTTTTTAAATAATTGAAATTCAGTGCAGAAAAATCATACAAGTCATTTTTTCTCACACGTGTTTTTAAATATAAATTATGACGTCATAAACGGGTGCATTTTCCCGTATTTTCTTAAAAAGTTGCAGAAGACACCAATTTTCAATGGAATTTTCTTTCAGATAACATGGTCCACAGGCATCGCCCACAAAGATCTTGAGATATGTGATTTGTTATTGAATTTTGCACAAAATATCAAAAAATTAACGTGGGCGACGGCTGTGGACACTGTTTTCTAAAGGAAAATCACCCTTGAAATGTGCAATTTTGAGGCTTTTTCTGTTGAAAATAGAGAAATGCTTCACATTAATGACGTCATATTTGCAGAATAGTAAACCTTCATGCCATATTTTTTCCTGATCTATCAGAGTCATTTATTTAACTAATATATAAGCCAGTTTCAAAACTTTTTGATGTCATTACATTTTTAGGGCGCAATAAAGCTAAAACCATACCTTCTTCTTTAAATGAAGTTGTTTAAATCCCTCTAAAATCAACTTATCATGGAGTAGAAGGCCTCGCTTAAAAATATACGATTTCACTCAAAGCAAGTTCTTGAGCAGTGAATTAGTTGCGAAGCATAAACATCATGATATGGCCATAATGGAATATTACAACAAAAACAAGAGACCCAAAAGTCAATTTACTAACTTTAGCACTGTGATTCCAAAAATCAAACATTTGTTTAATATTGAAAAGCTTAAATGCAGAAAAGGTCCCAGAAGAACAGATTTTAAAAGAGTTTTCTTATATATTTCTATGTAAAACAATGATAGACCATTATGGACCCACCTACCCCTTGGGGATCATGAACAAACTAGAATCTCACCACCTGTAGATGTTGCCATATAAATATGACCAACCATGACTTTCCTGTTCTTGGGAAGAATTTTTAAAAAGATTTTTCTTATGAATCCCTATTTGAAACTTAAAATTTGATCATGATGGCTCCACCCTAACCAAGAGAGTCATGACTTGAATAAAGTTGAATCTTAATTATTTGAGTGTGCTATGGCATAAATATAACCAATTATTTTCCTGCTCAATTTTAGAAGATTTACTATGTCGCCTTACAAAGATTCTACATGAGTCTTATTTTTTCTCACCCATTGGTCCTTGAGAAAATCATTTAATGACATAAAGTTTCGCTATTTCGTAAAGCAATGTTATTTTACACTAAATAGTTTTTACTACACGGCAATCAAATATCAGGTGCTTCATGTCTTCTTCTACATTACAAATTGAACAGTCTTTTATTTTCATTTACAAACATACTTATTCCAAGCCAGGAAGTCATGCATTAATTTGAAACTAAACACATTCTTATAAAATATTTCATTGACTTTTGTCCCAGTAAATGTTCTACAACAAGTGGAAATCATCAATGTTAAATATTTCAGCCCAAATATTTTTCCATTAAAGGTTTTTTTGCTTTTGGAAGCATAATATTGTACTAATATTTAGATATTTTGCCCTCAACTTGTTCAAAATATCCTTGGTGGATTTTATTTATTTATTTATTTTTTGGCTTTTTTATGTAGGTTTATTTTTTAAATATGTTTTTAGGTCACCTGTCTGTATATCGAGGATCGAGGATGAGGAAGGCAAGCCAGTCTATGCTCAGACTAAATAACACGTGTAAACTTCCCGGAACATATGGGGTATATACCAAAGTATATTTTATCTATATTAAACCAATGAAATCCTTCATGACAAAAACGAAAATAAACAATTCCTCGGATACAATACAAATAAAAAAATTTACAATACAAATGGGAAACATAGATACAAATAAAAAATATACAATACAAATGATTTTTTACAATATAAATGAAAAAATATACAATGCAAATGAAAAAAGTATACAATGCAAATGTAAACTTTAGAATACAAATGGAAAATTATACAAGGAAAATAAAACTTATTCAATACAAATGAAAAATTTTACTATACAAAGGGAAAATTATAGAATACAAATAAAAATTATGCAATACAAATAGAAAGTTTCACAATACAAATGGAAAAGATTAAATATTGCAACGTTTGACTTGCCAAACACTTGGTAATTTGTTCAGCATTAATATTCTTTTCAAGTAAAATATCTAACAAGAGGCCCAGGGGCCACAGCGCTCACCTGAGCACATCGGACTTGAATTCACCCCCCCTCCAGGCGTTCATCATTTGAACAAACTAGAATCTACACTACCGGAGGATGATTCCAAAAAAATATCACAAAACATAGCTTTGAAGTACTTGAAAAGAAGATTTTAAAATGTTTCTCTACATATCCCTATGTAAAATTTGGTCGGCTAAGATATTATATTTCCTATATATTCCTATGTTAAACTTGGGTCGGCCATTTTGGCCCCACCCTTGCCCCAGGGGTCAAGATCTGAACAAACTTGAATCTACACTACCTGAAGATGATTCCACATGAGTTTCATCTTTCCTGGCCCAGTGGTTCTGAGAAGAAGATTTTTAAAGATTTTTCCTATATATTCCTATGTAAAACTCATTTTTCGGCCATTTTGGCCCCACCCTTGCCCCGGGGGTCATGATTTGAACACAAGTGAATCTACACTACCTGGGGATGATTCCACATGAGTTTCATCTTTCCTGGCTCAGTGGTTCTTGAGAAGAAGATTTTTAAAGATTTTTCTTATATATTCCTATGTTAAACTTATCGGCCATTTTGGCCCCACCCTTGCCCCAGGGGTCATGATTTGAACAAACTTGAATCTACACTACCTGAGGATGATTCCACATGAGTTTCATTTTTCCTGGCTCAGTGGTTCTTGAGAAGAAGATTTTTAAAGATTTTTCTTATATATTCCTATGTTAAACTTGGGTCGGCCATTTTGGCCCCACCCTTGCCCCAGGGGTCATGATTTGAACAAACTTGAATCTACACTACCTGAGGATGATTCCACATGAGTTTCATCTTTCCTGGCTCAGTGGTTCTTGAGAAGAAGATTTTTAAAGATTTTTCCTATATATTCCTATTTTAAACTTTGGTCGGCCATTTTGGCCCCACCCTTGCCCCGGGGGTCATGATTTGAACAAACTTGAATCTACACTACCTGAGGATGCTTCCACATGAGTTTGATCTTTCCTGGCTCAGCGGTTCTGGAGAAGAAGATTTTTTTTAAAAAATGCCATTAATTTTTAATAAATTCATAATTATCTCCCCTTGGAAAAGGGCGTGGCACATCATTTGAACAAACTTGAATCCCCTTCACCCAATGATACTTTGTGCCAAGTTTGGTTGAAATTGGCCCAGTGGTTCTTGAAAAGAAGATGAAAATGAGAAAGTTTACGACGACGACGACAACGACAACAACGACAACGACAGACAACGGACAAATTTTGATCAGAAAAGCTCACTTGAGCCTTCGGCTCAGGTGAGCTAAAAAGGAAACGGATGTGTCGGATTCTGTGGTATCCTCTATCTCAAGCTCACTAGGATATATCGTATCGACATAAGAAAACAGAGTACCATTGTTAATTGACAAAACGTCGTCGATATACTTGTATCTAAATGTCGAGTTAAAAACAATGATAAGTGTTTCTGTTTAAAGGAACAAAAAGAGTTCATTGGTAGATCTCAGCGAGCCGATTCAAACGATATGCATACATGTAACTCTTTCTTTTACCATTTGGCATGTAGAATCTTATAATTCTCAGGCGACGAAAGAATGATTGTAAATACGTAAGAAGAATTTATCATGTAGAAATGCTTAAAATTGTGTTTTTATTAAATGTCAAATATCAATATCAGTACTTGTGTAAATATCACAATATCACAGGACTGTTTATACTTTTTTCTATCTTATCATCATCTGAGACCGTTTTAATGCCTCAGAGCCTTTCCACTTTCTCCATACCATGTATTTGAAACCAGACAATGCAGACTGTGCATACTGTCCATTAAGGTTGGCTTGGTGACAAATGTCATACCACCAGGCTCCATGCCATTGGATAGCACAGTTACCATTAATATGGTCGTTGTCATTTTCACGATCTTTTGTTGTAAATTTCATACCATTGTGATAAGATAAACTGTCACCTAGAACGGTGTAATGAAAAACAAAATTTATATTTACTTTGTTTGACCCTATTAATAAAAAGCATTATAAAATTACAAGTGATAATTACACATAACACACAAGACCTAATCACCACAGTCTGTCTGCTGTTTGAATACAGTGATTACACAATTACTGTTTAAACAAAGCTAAAAAAAATTATGTCTGTTATACGATTCATTCGTATTTCTTTGATGCAAAAATATAGTTAATCATTTAAGATTGAAAAATAAATAAAACTTTGATTCTTGTTATCTGTTATCATTGAGCACTTGTTTTTGTTTCCTGATTAGGATGTTTCAAAGGCTGTTCTATCAATTGCAATTTACATGAAGGATAAGGCAGGAATTTAAATGAAAAAAATTAAAATTGTGGAAAATCGAGGGATAAAAAAATGTTAATATAAGCAATGAATTATCATTTCTTGAAAGATGCAGTCTCATAACTGCAATGGTGTGTGCAAACAAATTGAGTAACGCGTGTTAGCCCCCTGGTAATTAAAGTCTACTAATTATTGATGAAATGTTTGATGTAATGTTACAGTAACGACCATTGTAGTTTTCAGTCCTGATCTTCAGCGTTATATAACGTTAGGGTTAAATGAGTCATCCTTTGATCTTTTTTACGAAATTGATAATACTAGTATATAAGAGATATTTTTAGCTCAAAATATCTAAGATATGATTGATGTGTATACGATTTATAAGTTAATTTAAATCTTGACTATATAGATATTATTATATCGATATCGTTTGGGATATCGTTATGTGAACAAAATGACAACCAACGATTACGAATCGAATTGTCATTGTATTTGGTAAGATGAAGAGTTAGGTTAAGGTGAATGTTGAGAAATGTAACACTTTTAACAATTATGATTTGATATCGAAACTAAGCCAGCTAATAATAAAAAGTACATTCTAACAAGTATTCCATAAAGAAAAACAGCAACAAAAGTTATGACGAAAGTTATTCGATATCGACACGGTATCGTGGGTATTAAAAATAAGAATTAAAAAAAAAAGAAAAAAGAAAATTTTATATTTTACACAAAACTTCAGAGAAATATTTTAACAAACTGTAAAAGATTACTCTGTCGATATTGCAACTACATCATGTCTTGAACATAACTCATACAATGACAAAACGACTTACCCGCTGTTCCGCTGTATCCAGACACTGCCAGGTTATATTTATCGTCTTCATCTCCGATGTAAAATGTGGAATACACAGCATAAGCCTCTTCTCCGTTATGCCTCTGAAGATCTATCCGGAGTTCTTGGTTTTTATCCTTTGTTAAGGTATGAATTGCCTCATTCCCTACATATATATTAAGCAAAACAACATATACTTTAAGGAAGGATATTGAGACAACAAACAGTATTCAATACCAAAGTCCATAAAACAACACAAAAAAGGAGAAACAACACGAACAAATGAATTCAGTATATTTTTGGAATGACTTGTCTCTTCTTTAGGTCAAAGAAAAAAAGTTTAAAGTCATGAAAAACAAAGGAAATAGAATAACAAACAAATAAAACCAACTAGGCCAGAATAATCGACCAGACACAGAATATTTAGAGTGTTAACTGTTTCATTTGAAGTTTAAAAACTTTTGTAAAAAAAAGGAATCCAGAGCGCTAGTAAATTAATGCATAGGGTCATGGCAGGTGTGCCCGGTCAACTGGGGATTCACAGTCCATTAAACACCTGATTCAACCTCCGAAATGTCCTGTGAGTGTTGTTTTTATACCCGTTTCGAGACATTATATTGCTTATTGATTTTTTTTTGTTGTTGGACGTCTTTGCTTTTTTAATCAATATTTTCAACATTTCTTTAATGATTGAAAATATTAAACATTTCAGGTGAACTGAGCATGAATATATGTATACTGTAAACCAATTTTTATTCGCGAATACTTTATTTCTCAATTTACACCGGGTAAACTAATTTGCGACGATAAATTTTCGCAATCAAACATTTTTGAATTTGTTCTAAATAGACACAAAGACTCTAAGGACCGGTTCTTGGCAAGAAATATTTGCGGTGACGTCTCCCTCGCAAAAAATGTCTCGCATGCGAATATTTTGTTTACAGTGTTCTATTCAAATTAATCAAGTTAAATAAAATATTCATAAGATCATACCTATCCAATAGTTTTTAGTCGCATTCCCAAATCCCTGTTGATACTCTATCCATGTCTTGTAAAAATCAACATCACCATCTTCTCGTTTCTGAATCACCTGTTAACAATGCTAAATTTTTCATTTTTAATTCTTAAATAAAAGAAAAATTAACCACTATGTTTCATTTGTTTTAATTATGAGTAAAGTTTCAAGTTAAAATATGTGCCAGTGTACTTTTGTGTTATATAAAAGAGTTTTATAACAAAAGTTAATATAAAATTGTTTGAACATACATTATACTCATTGTGTAAATTGTTTAGAAACCAATTCAGAAACAAGAATTATTATTGTGGGTAGTTATTTTGTTCTTTGCCCCCTGATTACGGTAAATTTTAAAAATATATATATTCAAGTGTTTTTTTTTTGCTATGTTCAGGTTTCCTTCTCAGTGTTTGGTTAATGTAAAACTCCAGAATAATGGTTGTGTTTCGAATGCTGTTACTTACTTAGGAGCTCTGCTGGGGAATTGGTTTCTAGATAGGTTGAATGAAAGGCATAAAGCCACGATAATAATATTTTAATTGATTCGTTTTCACAATAATGCAAAATTTCCTATAAAAAAATACGTAATACATATTGTTAATCTTTCAATCTCTTGAGGCATTCAATGTTACCCTTTATACATGTTTTAGATCTCTGTTCCCATGAACAGAAAATGTCAGCATACTCTATCTTTAGGGTTATCCAAATACACTGATAAATATAATTTATGGTGCAATATTTCTTTGATTATTTTCATGCTTTTGGAAATATAAGGTAGGTCGCAGATTTGCTTTTGTCATTAATTCTTGGTACACAATTTCAATGATCCGAGCTGCTGTTTTGTTGTTTTGTGCACATTTGATTATGAAGACAGTTACGTCACAAAGACAACTTTGCGTTGTTTCCCGTTTAATGACTCCAAGTCCGTACGAATCAAGAAGATTTATGCAAAGTGCATGCAATTGTACGTAAACATCGTACATGTTGTATAAATGAATTTCAGTCCACTTAAAAGTCAATCGGAATAAGTCAAATCAGTGTTAAAGTTATATTATGCAAAAAGAAAGTTATTATCAATAAAATAGCTTGCATACATGTATGTACACACGCAACTTAGAGGAACATGCCTTTTGCATCAGGACTGCCAATAATATCCGGGGGAAAATATACTTCTAATTTTCAGGATGTAATCAATCCTCAAAACTGAAAAAAAGTTCAAAACTAATGACATGTATCTTCCTTTTCTTTTTCTTATCGTCATCATTATTATAATTATTTGGTTATTGTGTATTTTTAAAAATCCAGTTTTGTCATCTTGCATTAGTGGCTAACAAATTTTGGAATACTTTTAAAACCCAAATTTATACAACACTTTGACTGTAAGACCTATATACTCGTATATATATGACACGGTAAACCATTTCCTGTTACCCTTTATGCATCTCTTAAGTCTTTGCATCCATAAACAAACTCATCTTAAGGGATGCCTCAAAAACACTGACGAAAATCATTTCCCATGACATATCTGACATTGTACAATATTCCTTTGATTGTTTTCTTGTGTTTTGGGGATGAAAGATCTCAAAGTGGCAGCGATCAAGCTAATATGGGTAATAGAAAAGTCCTGTATACTCTCTCTTTTTTTTTTTTTTAATTTTATTTATTTTTCTAAGCGTTTATGCATTTTATGCAGCTGCTTTGACAGGCACGAGAAAAATACCCTGGTCACCGAATTTTGGACTTCATTGCAGGAAATCAATTCAATTTTCCTTTGTGCAATTTGAACATAAAACTTACCGTTGCTAGTCCTTCATTTGGATGTATGTCATTGCTTTGATAGACTTCTTTAAATACTAGTACACAAAAACTAATAAAACATGAAACCATTGTTTCTCTTTATCATAATGAAACGACATCCCTTAGTACCCAGAAAATAACGCTTTGCCGTTATGACGTCAACTTGACGTTATCGGATTTCAACGTTTTAATCCCGATACAGCGCAAAAAAAATTTTTAACTGAAAAAAGTAGCTTACGTCTTCTATTCCCTTTGTGAGCTATTCTTTAGATGTGGAGCGAGTTTAAATTTTGCTGAATTTAAAAATTAATTTTCTTTAATGGAAATATTGTTGGTCATCGATGTGTTGATTTTGCTACTTTTCCTGAGAAAACGATCTTTCATCTAGAAAGTCCACGGAACATAATTTATAGCTTGAATTCCATTATTCCAATTTTTTGCCCACGATTAAATCTTAAAATTCCTAATAAACGAATTATTTTTTCTTTTATTAACCTTGTTGTGTGTGTGTGTGTGTGTGTGTGTGTGTGTGAGAGAGAGAGAGAGAGAGAGAGAGAGAGAGAGAGAGAGAGAGAGAGAGAGAGTGTGTATACAGTTTAAGTTTGAACAATAAACACGAGGACATAATCATATATGTATGAATTTACTGCATACGTCATTGTTCATGTTTTATTTTGATGATTCTAAATGAAATCTTAATTTGATTTTTGTTGATAACATGTATATGAAATATGAATTAAGCCAAGACAATTCTCAGCTTCGGCTTTTTCTTTATTTGAATACATATATGAGAACACCCCCCCCCCAACAACAACCTCCGGATCCCCCTCCTTCCCTTTTTCTTGGATCACACGTAATGCACATCTTTTAAATACAGACTGATCGGCCATCATGTTTACTAAATGCTAATATATCTAACCTGAGTATTTTTAACGACTTGCGCTCAAATTTTATTTCAAATCTTTGTTATGATCCGAAATTCTGATAGTTGCTAAACATTTTGTATAGCGACAATCAAAATTTCGGAGCGAAACAGAGATCTGATATTAATAAAATTGACCTTCATATCAGTGAAAAATTCAGTGAAATCAGTGAAACGTTAAACCTTGATACAGTCGTTTCGACAGTTCCGGATTTTTGCCAGTTCCGAATAATAAGTAATTTAAGGACTGATAATTAATAAATTCAACGGTGTAAAAATAATTTGTAATCTATGGTAAGAAGGCTTTTTTATGAGTGTTTGAATTATGTGAAGTTTTGATATGCACTCTAACATACACTAAAAACTTGTCAAAAATAAATATTTAGAATACTGAAAGATATTTTGCCAGTTCCGAATACGCATTTTAAACACTATTAAAAATTCACTCTTCGTTGTTTTCTTCATTGTAAACGTGACTTATTATACCCCCCATGGAAAAATAGGAAGAAGGGGTATATATATTAATGTTGGTAGTATAATAATATAGGAATGTTTGTCCGTCTGTCCGTCCGTCTAGTTGTCCGTCCGTCTGACACGCTCTGGGGTATCCATTTCTTATCCGCAACCCCTCTTCTACCATTGAATGAAGTTTAACCCCCTCCCCTACAGTCACGCATTTTAACGCATATACCGTTGCCCCACAATCACGCATTTTAACGCATATACCTTTACCCCACAATCACGCACTTTAACGCACATTGCGTTTTTGACGTCTTCTGCTCTGATACAACGTAAAGTTTTGATGGTATGACAATAAATGATAAGATAATATTTTTTTCTAATTCCATTCTAATATATTTTGCAAATAAGAATATTTTTCCTCGTTTTAATATGTCCAAGTCGTTCGATTTATAAGACGAAACTTTGGGTGCGATATGCGCGAGACAAATTAAGAAGGTCTTTCTTTTGACACTAAATAAGCCCGCAACTTGAACCACTCGGTTGGTGATATGATTGTCCCCCAATATTGTGTGAGATGGGTCCTATGATTCAGAATTTATAAAATTCTACAAAATCAATTTTTAATGTAAATATTTGATAAAAGTATGCGCAAAAATCGACAAAAGGAATAGATAAAATTAAAAAAAAAAAAAAATTAATTCATACTTAAACAACTGAAGAGGAAAAGGTTTTGTTCATATAGAATAAAGTTTTGTTTAAATTTACATTTAATCTTATTTCTTGGTCGATTTAAATTCCAATTCCTAAAAATACCACTTTATTGTTTCCGCCTTACACAGCAATAAAAAAATACATAATTGGAAAGGAAAAAAATACAACAATATCATGTTGAAAAAGATGTAAGTTAATTCAAATTTGAATGATTTTTTTATGCAAGTAAATTACATACTTGATTGATATTTTTAAAAACAGGGCTGGACAAACAAGAAGTCTGTGAGCCAATACTCGATAGTAATCCTAGTAATACCCCGCTTTGATGTGAAAATACAGATATGTTAATTAAAATTTTCACATGTTTAGTTACGTGCATATGCACGGACAAATAAGAAGTTGATATCAGATTCATACAAAAATAAATCCCATCATATGGCATGTCATAACAAAGTATGTGCTAAAAAAAATTCAAACAACTGCAATATATGTACATGTGTAGTTGCTGGAAAAAAACTGCAACGAAATGTGTTATTTTTTGTACGACTGACGCACGGATAAACAGGCAATTGATATCGGATTAAAAAAATAATACCACGATATAGCATGCCTCAGTGAAGAATGTGCTAAAATATCAAGCATCTTTGATGAGAAGTTGCTGCGAAAACTGCGATCAAAACTTTGTTACAGACAGACACACAAACAGCTGGATAGATGGACAAGCACACTAGGTAAAACAGTATACCCCTTTCCCCTCCCTCTCCTTGGCTCTAGAACGGGAATATGATTAAAAGACGTGTCTACTGATTAGTCCCTTAGGAATATTCCTTGATCCACCTTGAGTAGGTTTAAATTGTCAGTGTATTTAAAAATATTCACTAATCCCTGTTGCATGTAGTTTAAGAATATAATTATATATATGTATACGTGTACTCTGTAGGTTCAAGTTTGTCAACACTGCATACACTAGAAATGATAGGTTTAAGTATTAACTTTCTATAAAAAGACAACGATACGGTCTGATGTGATTCTTCCACCGGCTATATGTTTTTGTTATACATACATGTACATGTAGGCGTCGGAAGCAAATTGAAAGTGGGAGGGGGGGGGGTAATTGAAAGTGGGGGGGGGGGGGGTAAACCAACAAAAAAATGTAAACCCAATTTTCAATGCCTATACATGT